TCGCTGCGAAATATATTTTGCGCCATCTTCGTCTCCGTCTTTGCGGCTTTCCAATATCCGTGCCCCTCTAGAAACCCTTTCTGCCTCCCTCCGCCTGATGAAACTTTATGAACTTTGGCTCTGCGCCGCGAGTGAACTATAAATTTCCGAGGCTCTGCTGATTGCCATTGTTGTCTCTCCAGCACCGACTCCGGCATCAGGTCTGACTCTACCTGTGGCTCGGGCCATGCATGTGGCCCCTCTGTCGCTCTGTGTCTCTGTTGCATGTAAATTGTATCTGTATCTCCTGCAATTGTACGCAATCAGCGAAACTGTAACGCAGCTCGTTTTTCAGCCACCTCCAATCCCAACGATGGCCGATCCAATCCGATCCGATCCCGCCTCTGAGGCATCACAGAATCGTAAATTTCCCACCACTCGCCATAACTTCGAAAACGTTTTAATTAAAACTGCAGATTGTCATTGCTCGTTCGTGTGGGAGTTGCCTTTAAAAATAATATAATGAATATTTATTTCACTGTCGCATTTCGATTTCTCCCCTTGCTCAATAATGGAAAACATCACTACACAAATTTAAATTTCAACGAGTTTCGAACGCTGTGAAAATCCAACTGCTAGGATTTTAACCAGCAAATTTTTTAGGAAATATAAAACAGAATACATAGAATATTTCCTACAAATCTTACTAAGAAGAGGGACTAATAAGGAACCAATTTTGGTTAAATTCTTCTGCTTGAACCGAATCTTAAAAGTCTTTCTAGAACCTTAAACAGAATGAATGAAAATCTTCTAACCTGTTGGGAATCGCTTTGGATAAAGCCTACAACTTAAATTATTTTTCTTCTCGTTCAGCGAAATAAAAAACGAATCAGAGTTGGAATAAAATTATGCGACAATCTGCCAAGGTCTCTCTCGATTAGATGGCAGAATTGTTTGTCTCCGTCAGACCATAAATCGCATTAAAATGCAGAGCAGATCCTTATTGATTCACTAATCGAATCGGCAATGGGCACGGCCAGCAGTGGGAATGGCGCGGACTCGGCGACACACTCGCGAATAACTCATTTAAGGCGAGGGCCGTGCGAGGAATCGAAAGCGATTATGCAAATGGGAAAGCGGACGCCATAGCATGAGCATAGCATAAATGGGGGAGGTGAAGGTGGAGAAGAAGTAACCAGGAGAAGAAGCGTCACGCGTCGCATAAATATCTGCAAATGCTTCTAATAATAGTCCCACCGAGGGGTAGGACTGCGAGCAGTGCATCAGCTGCACGAAAAGGAAATGCAAAATGGAAATGGAAATCTCAGATGGAGAGGGCAGGAGCCGGACGCTGGTGTTTTTAATTTGCCTGACAGAATTTATTTAACACTCGTTGCTGGCTTAAATAAACCTCCCTCCCTCCTCCTCACATCCTCAAACTTCCGCTGCAATTGTGTCAAGGATTATTTATGGTGCCTCCCCCTTGCCATCCGCCGGTGCAGCCATCTTTCATGCGGGGACTGCAAATTGAAACCAACTACGGTTTTAATTTCAGTTTTTGCACAGAAAGCGCATAAATAATAAAATTACTCATCCGCAGTGCAATCTACTGATAAAAATACTTAATTGGCTTTTTACTCTTGCGGCCGCGGCCGCGGCGGCTGCTGCTGCGACTGCATCTGAAAAATCGAATCCGAATCGCATTTCGCTACCGCGCATAAATCGTGGATGCAGCGATGCAAAAAAACTGATAAATAATTTAATCGAAATTTTTCCACTGCCCGCAGCGGCTCAGAGCCATAGAATAGAAACGAAGGCGGAAAATGGAAAACACGCACTTAATTTATTTTTAATTTACAATAACGCCGCCCGACCATGTTCCTAGCCCCAACCTGGGCTCTGCCCATTCCAGGAGATCTCATCTTACAGCTGCGACTGTTGCAGTTATTTTTATAACTAAATTATATACGCCTGTCTTGCTGCCCACGGCATCTCACTGCTTGCTCCTTGCTGCTCGCTACAGAGCCCGATCAAGAATCGGATTCAACCTCAGCTCCAGCTGCGGGGCCAGGCACAGGCCGGGCCTCTCCTTCGTTTCCTGCCCGATTTATGGCGCACAAGGAGCGCGAAACCATAAACAGCTTTTATGGCGTTCTACTGGATTATTGCCTGCCCAGTCTGTCCACTCCTATCCAGCCAAGCCCAGCCCTGGTTCGGAGCTCATCCCCATGCCCAGACAGATCCTTCTGATTTGGCCATTGCCATAAATTGGGTGCTACACATGCAATTGTTTTTCCCCATACTGCGTCGCTCTTCAGCCTGCAACATTCGCACAACGCTCGAAACAATTGGAAAATTGTATTGGAGGACTAACAATATTTCGGATCTATCTATTTCAGCACCTCAAGGAGCCACAACAAATTTAAATATTGAAAATAGATTCCCAATGCTGTCTTGCTGTGTATCAAATAACAATCACATTCAGAGACACAACTTAAATAAAAAAGTAATCCCTAAATCTTGCACGAATCTTAAGAAAAATAAATCCTATTTAAACACTTTTCGCCTAAATTTGCAAAGTTTGGGAATCAGAAAATGGCACGCCCTTTTGATTTATATTTCCATTATCTAAATATATGCACATACCACGAGCATATATCATCCGGGAATATGTGCGAGTAAATCGATATTTGTTTTATTTCTGGGCCAACGCATTTCCTTGTGTACTCGCAACGAATTCATTTATTGGAAATGTTTGTGTTAGCCCGCGGAGCTGAGAAACTTTATTTTGGCCTTTTGTTTTTGCCCCGTCAAAGTTGTTGCTGGCCAGCTTGTGGCGACATTGTTGTTGTCGTTGTTGCTGTTGTTCGTTTCTTAGCCCCCCCTTGGGTTTATTCATGATGCATAAATCTCGGCGGCAACACTTTATGCGAACACACAAGCACACCAGAGGAAAATCGCAACCTCAGCCCATGTACTCCTCGTAAATTTCGTGAGTAACTTTTTACGAAATTAAATCTTGTTACAACAACAGCTTACATGCTATACGAGTATATATGTGCACAAGACTTTATGTATACATGTACATACATATATGTATGTACAATGTATTTATGTAATGGTATTTGGTAGGCCTTTTGGCCATCATCTGAGGCTGGACTGGGGATTTCGTTGGCCCCAAAGTGAAGCTGGTCAAACGAGCATTCGCGGTGGGCGTTGTTGCTGTATCTGTTTCTGATTGTGGTGTGGTGGTGGAGGTGGGTGTGCGGCGGTGTCTTGGAGAAATGCGTGTTTATTGCCCCGCAGCCAGGGGCCGAGATTTACAAGCCGAGCAGCCGGGCCGCATAAATCTGTCCTCTTGTCCTGCTGCCGGCCGGAAGGGAATTGGTATGGAGTTGTGGGCGGTCGCCGGAGATACGGGTCTGCTCTAGGACAGGACGGCTTGGACTCTGGCCAGGCAGAATCGTGCTTCCACGGGGAACGGAACGGAACGGGACGGAACGGAACGAATGGTCGTGGTCATGGCGGAGAAGAGCCTAATGAATGCGGTCAGCTAATTGTTAATGCACTCGCCATTATGGCCATGCACTGCGAGAAAAAGCAGCAGCCGTGCCACTGGGCCGGTTGGGCAGTAAATGTAAAATGCATTTTAATTACGTCATATATTTAACTTTAAGCATTTCAATGCAAATTTCCCCGCACTTCACCGCGGAGCATGCGGCATGCGGCATGCGGCATGCTGCGGCCTGCGGGCAGTGGGCTGGAGCGGGGCTTTGGCATATTAAATGTAATTATTTGGCACAAATTGCGTGTTTAGGATTAATTATGATATGGATAGGCTAATAACGAGACTCCAGTGTGGAAAAAAACCAATTTTCAAATTATGTGCTGCACGGATAGGACTCCCCATTAAAGTTAATGCCACACGTCAAAATATTGCAGGGCTCACTGTGCGTGATGGGAATTTAAGCATCACTTTCTGGTTTAGCATACATCAATATTTTAAAGCGCGATTTTATTACCAACACTTGCCAAACGGGTAGCCAAATTTAATGTTTAAAATGTAAAGAGTCCAAGACTCAGAGTCAGATTATTGAACGATTCATTACCTGCCGAACACTACATTCAGAAATATCATATTATTTCTCTTTCAGTAAAGAACGCAGGAAAATGAAGTCTATGAACACCGAACACCAGCTGTTCTTTCCCCGACCACTGTGCATGCAAGTACATAAAATAAAGTTAATTGCGTGAATGTTTTCATGTCCATGTAAATTTGCATGTCCATGCAACGCCTGCTCCCAAGTGCAGACATGAGCATCGAGAGGCTGAATCGGGTCTGGGAGGAACTGGAGCTGAGGGAGAGTAGCTTCAGAGGAGACATGGAACGAATGAGCATAGCTGGTAATGGGTATATCAACCACGCTCAACATCAAATAGAGTGCGATGGAGGAACCTTGAGGGATCCTCAAGGTAAAAACCAAACTTTCCCTCAACAATTATTAGGCAGGTTGTGTCATTTTGCACGGTGTCAAAAATTATGATTGCTGGAAGCAAAGAAAAAACAATCATAATTGTTTGTCGGTACCATTAAAAAATGCTCGCCAAGGTCAAGGAACAGGCGCAGGCCCAGGCAGGTTCTTCATTAAAAAGACACAAGTGCTGCAGCTAATGAGAAATCTCTACCGCTGCCTCTGCCCTGACACAACGCACCTTTTTAATGGCCGCCAGCGATCTTGACCTTGGTGCGAATTTTTAAGCGGAAAAGGCCGCTTTGCACATTTTTTATGGCGATCAGGCAGGGCAGCAAAGAGTGCGCCCGTTGCGCGGCGAACCGTTTTGGATTTGGTTTTTTAGCTGCAACCTTTGGAAATTTATGATTTATAGCCATGTCCGAGTCCGTGCACACATCTGTGACCCTTTTGCATGCGGTCCAGCAGCCAGGGATCAGTGTAGGGATTCGGAATCGGAATCGGCGGCTGCTGTTTTGGCAACACTCAGTTTGAGTTCCTGGTCCCGGCTGTTTGGACGTGGCGGATCGACTAAAAAACGCACCGAAAACAACGATTTTTTCGAAACAAAATGAGTTAAATATGTTGTGCCATAAATGGCATATGTTCCGACGGGTTTCAAATGAAAAAGTGTTGAGTTTGAGAGAGTCCTGCGGGTCAATGCGGTATCCATGTGTTTCTGTCGTGTTTGAAATAGTTCATAAAGGGGAATACTTACTACAACAACAAACAATCTATATAAGATAATTGGCTGCATGGAACTACATAAACATCTTCTAGTTGATGGTAAGTTACCAGTCCTCACGTTCATTCGTATGCCACTTACGGAATTTTAAATTTGAAAGCCTAAGGTTAACTTATTGAGAATAGCAGCTAACGTGGCAGCTTATTTGACTTATATTAATATTATTTCGATTGCCATGGTTTCCGGACTATTTCCGTGTTCCCGCACGAACAAATTTAATGAAATTCTTTTAGTAGTTTCAAAATCAGTTTGCAGAAACCCTTTTTCCAAGGGACTTTAATTCAACTGAATAATATTCTAGTTCATAAGGTAAACGACGAACGAGAATAGCCCTTAGTATTAATAAATAGTTGAGATTCAAGGGAAGCTTTTAAGTGTTCTCACAGCCTTTTTAAAATGCCATAGCAGTGCAGAGAAGAACCAAAAACGTGCAGCAAAAAAGGGAAAATGACTAAAATAAATCACAGACAAGGCATGCGTGCGCATCTCATCGAGCAACGTTTTGGGTCGGCGGCCTGAGACTTCCCTCTTATTTTCTCAGCGTTTTGAGTAATTCCGCGGAATAAGCGACAAAGCAGTCGGACAGCCTCCACCTCCGAAAGCAGCTCCAGGTACAACCACAAGATCGGGCCGGGCAGCGACAAATCTTGAGAGAGCAATAAACAACATGGTTGACAATCTTAAATCTTGCGACTTGCCGTCCCACACAGATGCGCAGATACACAGATACCCATACAGATGCACTCACTCAGATACGAATGCGGATGAATGTCGCAGCCATTATGGAACCCTCTTGCTGCCCTCTGCTGCTGCTGTTGCTGCTGCTGCTCTTCCCGAAGACATTTCTTTTGTGTTTTTGTTGTTTTTTCCATTTGTTTGGTGGCGAGCAAACGACCAACACTATCGCAATCCCAGCCCCAATCCCAGTCCCGCGTCTGTTGCGGTCATTGCTATGCTGGAATGCAGAACAGGGTTCTGACCACTTTAAAGGCTTGGCCTGGCCTCGGCCGCCGATAGCAGACCCGAGCCCGAGCCGTTGCTTAGGTAGAAAATGCCAAGACGTAAGCACCCCAGCTCCAACTCCGCTGCACTGTGGGATGTGCACGAGTAAATTGTAAAAGAAAAATATATTTGAAGATCCAATAGGAAGTGTGTAACGAAATGGAGTACGACAAGCTCTGATTAAAATAACAGAAATGCTCACATCATATTTTTGGTGTCAGCACAATAATTTGGTTAGATTAGCATACTCTAAAATACAGCACTATGTTTTAAGCAACTAATCGCACGATCCTTTCCACAGTGCAGCCTGAGCTTGCGCTGAGCCGGAGCTTGGCCTTTTGGCTTCGTGTCGAGTCCGTTGGCTGTTTGGCCTGCTTGTTGTTTGTCTCCTTTATGGCTTCTTCTCGTACCCTTTATCGCCATCTGCGATTGCAGCCAGATTTTCCACAGCTATTTTTGTAGTTTTTATTTTGGGGTCACATTTTCGTGCTCCGCAGGTAAGAGGAGCGAGCGATACGAAAAGCATTTTCTTTGTTGGCCAGGCCAGTTTTGGTCGTTGCCATTGAGATTGTGTGCGGATATCGTGTGTCTGCTGAGCCTTGGGGCCCAACCACAAGCCCCATATTTCTCCTCCCAGAAAACTCTGACTACCAAAAGCGACTTCCATTTGTGCGAGGCTAAGATTCACTTTTAAGACCGTAAATCATATTTGATTGCTTAACGACATTTTAAACAAGATTTGCAAAGAAATCAGTGCCGTGCCAGACATAAAAATTCAATGAGCAGCCAGACATTAAACCCTACAGATAAGCCAGAGCTGCCACTCCATAGACCGAGGCAGAAGCGTTTGGCATTTGATGTTTATTTAATTTGCCGCAATTCATAACAATTTCGTTTACGACATTTTTACTACTCGACAAATGCCGTAAACAAAACACTGCCGTCGATTTGTTTGATGGCTCCTTCTGTCTTGTTCTCGCCTCTCTCTCTCTCTCTCTCTCTGGCTCGCACTGGAACTGGGGCACACGCTCAGGTTTTTATGACCCCGCACATCGCAGGGTTACGGACACGGACATGGACACAGACATGGACTGCTCGACAATTAAACGCCATCATCAAGTAGATTTGAAAGCGAAAGTGCAGCGCAGTGCAGGGCGGACCTCCCTCCGGCCTATCAGCACCCCGGCGATTTATGTGAGTTTTATAGATCGTAAAAGCAGCACTAACAGCCGGGCAGATGATTTTACGACGTGTTGAAATGCCACCAGGACGAGTTCCGCCAGCCCGACAAGTCAGACAAGTGTCTTGTGGACCACGACACCGGGTTGCTGCTCTGATTGCTGCTCCGCAGCTGATTCCAGCTCGCATCGGATGTGGTTCAAGTGCAGCATCGTAAAATCCACCATATTCCCGCAGCCACTTGAAAGAGCCGTAAAAGGGCTATAAACCAGAGTGGCGCCCAAGGAGTCACCGCAAGTATTTGGGAGACAGCATACGTGTCCTTCGCCTGTTGTCTGTACGGATTGTGTGAGCGATTGGGTTCGTCCTGATTTGATAAGGATAATTATGTCTGCTCGCCATCGGGCCATAAAAGGACAATCAATCCACGGAGGCGGATGAAGCATATGCCGGGTAATTGGCCCCTGTTGCAGTTGGGCTCTGAACACTGGGAAATAGTCTATAATTGAGTGGGTTTAGGGCTAAGAAAAACACAGCTAACAGTGTACCAATGAAATATTTTACATCATCTTTGGAGAATTTATTTGCATTTAGATCTTAATGATTCCTGACCTGATAAAGATCTAAAGGTTTCACAGAGAAACTAATTATCGAGCGTCTACAAAGGGTAAGCCCCTTCATACCTTTGTCCATATCGTGCCCGGTATCCATTATTAACTCACTCGAAGACGTGTTGATAACCAGGCCCAGGGAGCAGACATCAGACATCACAGCCCAGACAACATAGAACTGCGAGCGGCGGACAATGAACAGCGAACAATTGAAGTAATGACGTGACTATGGACAGTCGACGCATAGCGACTGCCCCTGCCCCACTGCCACTCCGATTTTGATTCCCATATCCACTGAGATCCTCAGACCCAGCCCGAGTCGCTGCTGCTGTCTGGCTCTGGGCTCATTGTTATCATTGAAATGGCAGCGGCGAGTCCAAACTTATGCATCGAAAGTGTTGTTAAATTACGCCAAATTGCTTAATTTCAATAATGAAACGAACCGACGAACGGACAGACAAACGAACAGACCGCTGGAACCACTCAATGAAATTATAAATATTCGGTCCAAATGATATGCAAAAGTGCAAAGAGAACGAAGACTGCCCCGTGATCGTGACGTCTCCGTCTTCTACTTCTGAGGACCCCCTGCCTGCGACTTCGATTCCAACTCTCAGTTCTCTTTTTTAGCTACTCTGCTTCTGTCCCGATCCCGATCCCAATCCCGTTCCCGTTCCCGTTCCCGGCCAGACGGCGTCCAATTTAATGGGCCCATTGAATTGGTCGTTAATGTTTCTTTTTATTTGGCCTTTATTCTGCCCGTTGCTGTTGCTGTGCCACTTATTTATTTCTCTCTGTTTCTGCTCCACCGTTATTGTTTGCTGCAGACTTACTCAATTTTAATATTGTTTACGAGTATTTATGGGAGCTTAAGTAATGTGCTGCAATTCCAATTTCAAAAGATAATTTCAAATTTACTGTCAATTTATTTATTAGACGAATGCCCCCTGCCCCAGCCCCTGCCCCTAAATTGACTTCAGTTTTTAGATGGAGAAGGGAGCGGCGCTGCCCGGGCTGAAGCTCTTTCGAATTTCTTTCTTTGTTTGTTTGTTCTTCTGTTTGTGTTTGTCTGCCCAACACAAACTTATACGAGGGGTATATCTTATGTTTTGGAAAAGATAAAAGCAGTACCGACCCCAAAAAAGTTTTTACAAAGTTATCTGCGTTATTTACTGCCTGGCGTCGTGGGCGTATACGCAATATTTCATAATTCCCTGCTTGGGGGGCAGAAGCCAGCTGAGCAGACAGCTTTGATGGCCCATAGACAACACTTAGCAGCGTCGAATGGCTAGTTTATCAATTTGTTAATATCGAAAGGGAACATGCCATGAACCACATATCAATCCATGATAAATTAAAGCAGCATTAATGCATTTTATACAAACTGTTGTTGTAGGTAATCAACGTACAGTTCACCGTTTCTTATGCTCTTCACATATTTTAGTAATTTACATTATTCATCATTCCATTAGCTAGCGCTAACGAAATTATATGAATACATATTCAAATTAGTTTATCGAATGCCATGAGATGTCCATTAAGCAAAAGGTGTCGCCATTGCCACCAACCAAACTTGTTGTTAATCATTTAAAAATATTGCCAGTATCGACTGACGCCATCAGAGTCGTTTGCTTGAGTGCAGACCTGGCTACTCACGTCCTCTTGTCTGTCGGAGTTGGGATCTAGTTCCTGTCAGTTCAGTGGCAGGGGCCAGTGCCAGATCAAAGCACTGTGGAGGCGTTCAACTCTGAGTGTCCACCAGCAGTCACAGATACAGACATACAACCATGGCATGGCAATTGCGATTTGTTGCGAGGCTGGTGACGTTTGTAGGCACTTTATCATTGCAGTGTATCATAATTTAGTCAGCTCGCACATGCATACGTACATTTCCACCCACATTCGCCAGACGAACAGCAACAACACTGACAGCAACAGCAACAGCACAGCAACAGCAACAAATAAAATTCGTTGACATTCGTTGCGCTGACTAAGCAGTTGACTGAGCCAGAGCAAAAGGCAAAGAGCCGGGAACGTGTGCAAACTTGGCTGACTTCAGATGGCCCAGCTCGATAAGAACAAAACGCTGACCACGCCCAGCCCTCGCCGTCGACCCCTGCACATGCCCCTACAGGAGCCATTTCCTGCGACAACATTTTGTGCTTAAAAACTTGCATTAAGTATTAAGTATGAGAGCATAATGGGTTTGTTTTCATTACTCGCCCGAAAAACGGGCGCACTCTGCTCTG